ACTGTATTTCGATGAATCCCAATGCAGTCAGCAAGATAAGTGATACTATCGCTAATAAAAATAAGTTGATTAGTAGATGTATCATAAATAAATACTTTGATACCGCCGCCATGCGGCATTTTACGAAAATAGTTACACCAATATTCTGACATTGGTTCATGGTATCCTGTACTACTAGCAACTAGATCTACATTTAGATTTGGTTTAAGAGTATCCATACAGAACTGTTCTAGTTCCACAGCTATATTACTAGTACTACCTGATTCTATAATTAGAAGAGTTAGTGTTACATTTTTATTCCAACCATATTTTCGAAAATATCGTAGTACTCTCATATCAGCTTTATTAAGAATACTAGGCATAAAGTACGAAATTACTCTAGCATATAGTGAAATAGAACTTCCAACATAACAATTACCGTCTTCTGTTATAAAGATATATACACCTACTGCTTTTTTAGCTACAGCAGCAATTTTATCTCTATTATTAAAAGGATCTTTAATAGTATATTCTGTATATTTATGTGGACTCTTTTTCCATTAAACGATTTAGTATGTAGCTTTTTAGTAAGTAGTGTTTTTGTGGAAATAACTGTTATTTTTCCAGTGAATTGAGAAAAATGATTAAGAATAGAGCCGCTAACCATAAAGAAAATCATGATAAATGCATGAGCTGTAATAATAACGTTATACAGTTGATGATCTCCATTTAGATATTGTACTCCAGGAGCTGTCAGTTCCATTCGGATTAGCATTGAGAATGCTGTTCCAATCATAGCTGCAAATACAGCAAAGATAAGGTAAAGTGTTCCGATATCTTTAGCATTTGTTGAATAGAGCCATCGGACCATCTTTTCTCATACTAAAGCTTTTATAAGACATCTACAAATATGATTGATTTATATTTGTATTGAAAATATATTGTTTATTGTTTAATACTTTCTTTTATATAGGTAGATAAATATTTTATTCGATGTGTTATACATATTTAGTTATTTATAATTCTATTTTTTTGTGTTCTCTATTGTTATTTACTTATTAGTTTCATAAGAGAACATTTTAGAGGGTATAACTCAACGGTTAGAGTGTTGTACTTTTAATACAAAAATGTAGGTTCGATTCCTACTATCCTTATTTATCATATGTACCTAATTCTAATTAACTAATCATTTTATTATCTATATCTGTTAGATATATTAACTTATTTATGATAATTCATATTTAGTACACTATTAGTGAATAGTACTATACATAAATTAATAGTAGTTATTACCAATTCTTTTCAGTTTTCAATGCCCATCGTTCTATAATTTCTACTATATAACAAATTATCCTAGGATGAGTTGAATCGAACAACTATATTCACTACCAAAAAGTGATGTCTT